TGTATGCACATTGCAGAACGTCGAACTTGAACGTGCGCGTGCCAGTCGTAGGCGGATATTACACGAGAGCAAGGACACATGGTCACCATTGGGCTCCATGGCGAGGGGCGTGGCACATTCGTTTGGATGTATAGCACGTGAGTTACCGCGAGGTCGATTTGTGTACGTGTTGCGGACAGTTTGATTTTGTGTGGAATTTGCTGGTGAATCTGTGAAGCTAAGACTGGACTGCACTGACTCTCCGGTTCGGCTGCTCCACCCTTTAAAGCGTGGTACGTTTCTGGGTTGTGTTTTACTGGCTCTGACTATTATACAGCAGGTATAACATAGCTGCAATGTTTAACGATAAAAAAGCATCATACTAAACCAAAAATATTACCCAACAGTAATCACTACAACTAATACAGTGTTTTAGTTGCTTGTGATTGTATCAGCTTCAGGGTTTAATGTATTTTTGGGGGGGATGCTCATCGTACATGCTACAATACTGTAAGCACACAGCGCCGAGGGTCAGTACCCTGCTGCTTTTCATTATTGAAGCAAAAGGCTATTTTAATACCAGCTGGGCATGTGACAAAAAGCAGTTTTCCCATTAGTTACTAAACCCAAAGAACTACCAAACTGCACTGATGACAGGGCACATCAGGCCCAAGTGCTACCAGCCCTGTTCAGTCCAGTTGGTCACTTCGATAAGCATTTGCAGAAGCATGAAGTTGGCTATAAAGCTCTTGGCAGTGGAACGCTGCAGAAAAAATCTATTTAAATTCCAAAAGAAAAAGGAGGAGTCTGAAAAGGGCTACACAGCTGTTTCAAGGAGTCCCATCAGATCCAAGGTAAACCTCCAATTTTTATGACACCGCTGGGCAAAACTAACATCCATGGGAGAGTGGTGCAATGGAAACAAACACTAACCCCTAAAAACACTACGTTTTATCTCTTGATAGTCTGGACTTGAACTCCACGGAGATGCCGTGGTGGGATCTAAAAAGAGCTCACAAACCCTCCAACATGGCTGCACTAAAGCAGCTCTGCAAAGAAGAGTGGGCTGAAATGTAAAGAATTATCTGTAAGCCGGCTGCCTTCTTCTCTTCCTGTTGATCTCACAACAGACCTGTTTGTTTACATCTTTAACAGTCAGTCTGCCACCAAATAGTTTGCCCTTCACTACAATTACACTTCTCTGGGTAACTGTGGACCATTCTAGGCTTTACTGCACCTCACAGCCCTAAAAGTGTTTAAAGCCCAGGGATAACAAGTGTTTCTGATGTTCCTCTCCTCCACACAGGTACAAGGGATATGATGACTCAGTACCAGTACTGACATACACATACTCAAACACATAATGGCTAGGATTACCTTCTCCTTGAGGGAATTCACATAAAGATCACTGTTTGCAAAGTAGATGGAAGAGTTGGAGTGGAAAACCTTAATCCCCTCATATTCAGCCGCCTGGGAACAAACCACAAATCACAGACATTCAGGCCAGAAGACACGGTGAGAAAACTTCATCCTGGCTTTAGACTCAAGTGTTTTGTCTTTTCACAGACTCACCTCCTCGTAATCATCCACGTCATAGTACAGCCCGGTGCTGGAAACGTGGCCCAGGATGGAACTTTTAGGGCTGGAAGACAAGGAGATATCTTAGAAACACATGCTTCTCCACACCTCATTAAAATACGTTTATACTAAATTCCTCTGTTGTCAAGCTTCCAGACCTGCTCCTACAAACTTTCTTCCACGCTACACAAGGTGGCATTACGTTTATTAGGTGAATAGAGAGATAATAATTTGGTGATGACAAAGATAAGCATACATAGGAAGTACCTCTGCGTCCTGTAGATGACTGTTAGAATGGCGAATGAGATGGCCACCAAGAGGCCATAATCCAAACCCAATATCAGAGATGGTACGAAGGCTACCAGCCAGATGGCCTGAGAGAGAAAAGGAAAGAAACGAAAATACAGCGACATGAAGCAGTGTAACCAGAGAAGGACACTAAAAGCAACATCCTCTCATTCTTCTATGAGATGGAAAGCAAAGGCTCATTACATCTCATTTGTTTTCAGCGATGGGCAAAAGAAATCTAATTTAATCCGACTGTCATCTATTGATGTTTTAAAATAATATATTAGGCACCTTAAAAGCTCAAATTAGATTACGCAGACTTCCTGTTGTGTTGAAAAAACAGGAAAATGAAGATGATAACCTTACATCACATTATGTTTAACTGCACAAAAATAAATAATACTGAAATAAATATACTAAATATGAGGCATTTTTATATTGCTGATTCCTACCTCCTCCTTGATAAGTCCTGTTTTAGTAATTTAACTCAAAAGGCTCTCTGTCTTAGTGCCTATCTCCATAATACAGGTCACTGTGTTGTCTTTCAGGGTTTTCAGACCGACTGTTCAATTGTTGAAAAAGGTGTTCCACAGGGGTCCACCTTAGGACCTCCTCTGTTTCATTTTAATACACAATCTACCTCAAATATGCTCAAATTGCTATTCACACTTCCAACTCTGATATTTTACAATTCTTCACAGTTCATTTTGAACATGATTCAAACTGGTTCATTACAACAAACTTGCACTGAATAACAAAGAGTCATGCACCACGGTGTTTGGTACGCGACATAATCCCTCGTATCTCTTTGATTTTATGATTTCTTTTGACAATTGATCACTCCTTAAAAAGCTGATTGGTTCAAAAATTTTGGATTTTATTTTGACCATTGTAGAAACCAATAATGTAATAACAGCCGATAACACAACAATGGCCAATAATGCAATAAATTTGCCATTTATTAAAATGTAATAGGCCAATAACGTAATAAAAGTCCTGAACTGATAAGGTAATATCTTTTGGCCAATAACATAATATTACATTATTGGCCAAAAGATATTACGTTATCAGTTCAGGACTTTTATGACATTATTGGCCAATTATTAGGTTATTGGCTTCTACAACCATGAACTAACCTTTAAGTCCACATTAATATCATTACACAAAAACACATGGTTGAGTAAGCACACTGTATCACTCAAAAAATTA